TTTAATTGTTGGCAATGTGAACAAATTTTAGGAATAATTGTAAAAGAGGATATCCCTGAAATTGACAATTTCCACGTAAAACAAAGTCAAACGAACATCAAAAAATACTTTTACTTCAACATTTTCCACGTGAAAAATTTATACAATCAAACACAATAATTTACAATTTCCATGAAAACAATTTCTAGGTAATTCAATTCCTTGGAATTTATTTTCTTTCCATGTAATTTTCCTACTTGTAATCAAACGCACCCTAAATGCATAACTTCTGTGAAAACAATAGCATTAACAACAACTGTTAAAGAACGTAGCAGTAACACGTTTCCATGAGCAATGCTTATAAGCAACCATGAAATAAACCTCTGGTTATATATATTAAACCATCAAAAACAAAAAAAGAGAGGCTGCATGTTGATACACCAACCATAAACCAAAACCAGCCTCTATACTATATTTAGTTACATTTACACATCACATTTCTTGTCAATTTCATCATCAAATTTCAGATTGCATCCTAACACGAAGAGTAGGCATAAAAAGAAAGAGTAATGTTATTTGTAATTACTCACTAGCATAGTTGCCTTGCGTGGTATACATGTGACGATCAATGATTTGATACATTAATGTGGTAATTTTTTTATTGCCTTGTATCAAATCATTAATGGCTATATGTAAGTGAAATGTGACACTACCTAAAGCTTGATGAGTATTCAAACAAGTAACTTGTCATTTTAATTAGTATTCTTTCTAATGTAACTACTACATGAACAATCAAGGTGATGGATGATAAATTTAGGAAAAATTGCAACAGCAGTCCCTAATCTTTTTATTTTTTGCAGACTTTACCATAACTTTCATTTTGTGTTAGCTAAGGTCCCTAACCTTTCATAAATATGTACCTGAGATCCATCTGGACGAAAATCATCCAAAACATCATCAGTTGATCGAAAAATTCCTTAAACTAACTGTTACCACGACGGTTTTATTGAATATTGATTCCTTAATTTTTTAGTCAACTGAAGGTGTTTTGGACGGTTTCCGTCTAAATGAACCTCAGATGCATATTTATGAAAGATTAAGGATCTTCGTTGGTACAAAATGAAAATTAGAATAAAGTCTGTAAAAAATGAAAAGCTTAGTGACCGCTGCTGCAATTTTTCCACAAATTTATTACAAAAATTCACAATGTACTCGTGGATTATATTAACAATTTTTTTGATACATGGGACTCATTTGCATTGTGCATCATTTAAAAAGAAGATATTAAATGTGATACAACTTTGGAGCCTGTTACATGCAAAGAAGTTCAGGAAGCATCAATCACACTTTATAATTCTTTGTTACAGTTTGAGAATTCACCTTCATTACTTCCAGGTGCATTAAGTAAGATGAGAAATGAGATCCGACTATATTAAGCGTCTGTTTGGTAGGGATTCAAATTCAAATTTTAATATAAGTCAAAGTTAATGATTAGTTTTCATTACATATTTCATTGGATTCACAATTTTTTCAATCACATATTTCATTAACTTTTATCAAAATCTAATAAAAATTCGATTTTAATCCCTATCAAATAAGGGCCAAAATTTCAAGAGAAAAAAGGGAAAGATTACATATTTAAGGCAGTTAAGATAAACAATTTCAAATTAAGAAAATTTTCTTTTAAAGTTTCAAAAATCAAGTTATAATTAAATATATTAATGTCACAATACTATACAATTTATGATAACAGTTACTCAATGTCATAATCACAAATTTTATAATTCATAATTTATTTTACTGTTACAAATCACAAATTTTATAGATCATAATTTATCTCACGGTCACAAATTATCAAATTAATTGTTCAAAACTTAACAAACTATGAGTTGTAATTACAAATTTGGTTGCAATCTCACACCTTTTTAGGTTACATATTATTTATTAATCATGAACTATCTATTTTGTCGATCACATATTATTTATTGATCACAAATTAACCAAATTATTAGTCATAATCACCCAAATAATTGGTCACAAACATTTCATCCCATTCTATCCATATCCCAACCGCAACTGCAACCCCGCCACCACCCCCTAAGTCCAAATCTAATTCACCACATCACCATACATTTAAACCTTAAATCTACAACAGTCGAAACAAATTTTACAAATAACACAAACAAACAACATTAATGCACTTACTAAGACCAGAAAGATAAACAATTTATCCCGAGAAATCGATTGTAATATTTCTAGATCTAAAGATCTTACAGAAACGAGCACTGTTGCTATAGCGACGCTGACGCCGCCAAGGTGTAGAGTCATAAAATCATCTTAGTTGCTATAGTTATTGTAGCGACACTCCTTCTAGGGTGATAAAAGAGAGAGAAGAGAGAAGGGAAATGATAGAGGAGGGAAAAGAAAAGAAAGTGATCTGAGTTTGGGAGTGAAAAACGTATAGTGTAAGGTGAGGTGGGGTAGGTATGTAAATTAATTTAATATTATAATATTATTATTGATATTAAAATTTTGAATTATCACCCGATTTTTGAATAAAAAAATTACACATTAATTTTTAATTGAAAAGTTAAAACACAGTATGGGTGTGATTTTCACAAAAATTTGAAAAGAAAAGAGTAGAGTCACATTTAAAAAAAATATCACAGTCAACTATGCCCCCCGTTTGACATTCTTAATTTTTAAAACATAATTTTGAATAGTTATTGTTTGAGAATATGTGATTGAAAATTAGAAAAATGTTGTGGATTTACGTGTATAATATTTTTGTGTGAATGCATGATTGAAAATAAGGCACTGTTGACATTCTTTCAAAAAATACATTTTAAATAGTGATTTGACATTATTTCAATAACACATTATTCAATAAAATAATATTACACCCAAATTCAAAATTTTTCCTCATTTTTTAACCACATGTTATCTATCAATCTACTTTTCCATAATATATTATTTCAAAATAATATGGTTCAAACACACACTAAGTATGCAAAATAATTTAAATTGAAGTAAAGGATGTAAAATGGGGGTATATTTGCATATTTGAAAAAAATTACTAATTTTATGGCAAGAATGGAACTACATATTTTAGTCTCTGTTTAGTGGGGATTAAATTATATTTTAAGTACATTTTAATAAAAATTGATGAAATATGTGGTTGAAAAATTGTGGATCATAAGAAATATGTGGATAAAATTAATTATTGATGTTGATTTAGTTAAAAATCTAAATTTTAAGCTTATATAAAGTTCTTAAAAATGTATTATTTTATTTATTTATTAAAAAATTATTAATTTAAATTTTATTATACAATGATAGTTATTACTTTATAGGAATCCGAACGTACAAGAATTATACACAAGTAACAAAAAATTCTTATATAGTAAAGATAGATTTGGATTAAAATTCAATAACCATCTTCCTTGTTTACAAACTTATTTTATGATTTTCGACACCTTATATCCAGGGGCGGAACCAGGATTTTAGTTCAGTGCGGACAAAAAATTTTCGACTCTGAACGTCAAAGGAACCAGAACAAGGCATTACGTTGTTACCTAAATACTATCTCTCCCAGCTGACAAGCTGTAGGAAGTCTCTAAAGATATCTCCAAATTGTTTCGAAGAGCCTCCAGGCCTGAAGAGTTGTTAAACAGAGAGCATTCTGGTTAGTTAGAAGAGGAAAAACAAAATAAATAGAACATACAGATATCCCTTTTCTTACTTCGACCAACATGGTGTTATGAAATGTGATCAAGCTATACTACACATTAATATCATGAGAATAAGACATATTTGACAACTAAGTGGGATGGCAGTTATGAATATACATTCAAATAACTATGATCCTCTGATCTCATGTAACTTTATTTAGACAAATAACCGCTTTAGTAAAAGAAAGAAACTAACTTCCTTCTACAATTTCATTTCAAGCTTTACTCATAAATTTTAAACCATTGCCGAAAAAACAATCCAACTAAATGTTGACTTTGGAATTCTTGCATTTGAAGTGTTGCATCCTATATCTTAACACAGGTAACACTTACCACCGTCAAGTCTCTTATGTACAACTACTTTCCTAGCCATTCTGTCCTCATCAACGTCAAGTTGTATCAAGCGTCCCATGCACCAAGAAGTATTCCTCGAAAAAAGATGTATTATACTTGATAAAATGTCTCTATAATACACCATGGAAATGAATACGTCTCTATCTCATTGACCAAAGAATGAGAGATTCCAAGTCAGTTCTACGGCCTGCAGAGTCTGGAATTTAAGTGTTTGGGAATTAATACATTGTAAAATTTTTCGAAAATGAAATAAAAAAGAATTAACACATCGTGCTTATTGAAATCATTCTATTTTCTACATAGTTTAATCCATTTTACTCATATTAAGACCATTAGCATTCTTTCAGATTGTCCATGATAGCGTAATTAATCATATAGGTTACTATCGTTCAAACATTTGGAAAAAATCAAAATTATGTTGTATTCCAATTATAGTAATCTAAAGCAATCCCACTTTTACCATGACAAAACAAATTAACTTTCACACATCAATAAGTAAAATACTCAATAGCATTGGAAAAAGTATCAACATAATACGAATTCAGGAATACCCATTCAAGAATACTAATACGTAATAGTAAGAACAACATACTAATTAAAGGTTGAAGTAGAAGCACAGTGGGTTAAACTAAAATAAATAAATAAAAAATGAAAAAATTTTCGCCCAAGAATCCAGTGCGGGCACATGCTTGGGTTCCGCCCCTGCGTATATCCAAATTGCACTATCATTCCTTCACTAGTTATTTGGCAAATCAAGTAATTATATGGTAGATAACTTTTAAATTATATTTAAAATCACATTCTTTTAATAAAATAAATTTACACATGAAGATATAATTATTTTTTATTTTTTACTATATAATTTTTTAATATTTATTTCTTATAAAATATATCATAGAAAAAATTTACATGTTACAAATGGAGGGTTAATTATTCTAACGATCATGGAACTGTACAAAGTGTTAAGCTAATCAAGCAACTTCTCATGCTCAATTGAACAGTCCCACTGGCAACTTCTACTGGATTTTCTTTTTCTATTAAACGATTAGGGTTTGTTTAGGGTTTTACTCCGTGCTTCCCATAGATTTTTTTCTCCGATTAGCTCAGTTACCGACCTGGCCAATGGTCAGATTCTACGGATTCCTGCTGTCCCGCCGCTCCATCTGCTCCTATCCATGCCACCATTCACCCTCCCTTGTATACCGTGCATTTCTCTCTGACTCTTTTAATACATGCTAATTTATTGGTTATTATTTATGTTTATTGATTTATTTTTGTTATAATGCAGTTGCTTGAGTCATTATTGGAAGGGAGTTACAGGAGTTATGGCACTGCACTTGTCAATCAGTCGAGAGTCCTTTCCAATTCAAATTTCGGAAATGGTATCTGAAATTTTGCTCCTTTTGCTATGTTTTAGATATATCTTGGTTTAATTATATGATTCTTATGTTATTTGTTATTTACATTACTTGGATACAGTGGCTAGTGGGAGAGACTGGTTGAAAATCGGTTTACTTAAAGCTAATCTGGGCGTGGCACGGTCAATTCATAGCACTGGTAACTGTTTAATTCTTATTTTTCTTTGAGGCTGGCGTATTAATTTCTTGTGTTTATTTCTTATCTAACACAAGAACTTGAGACGCATGAATAACTGGTTATGGCAGTTGATTCCATCTTTATTATTAGCTGGACGGATATATTTTGTATTATTCCAATTACTTGTAGTTTCTTAAGAATTAACTTGAACTTCAGTGAACATATCTCATTACACATCTAAATAGAAAATGATAAAATAAGTAGTGTTGCATATTTATAGATGAAGTTACTGCTGATATATTTGATTTAATCAATTAATTTGGGTGGCTTACTTCAAATTGCGCATCCTGTTTGAAGTTAAAGTCAATTTTTTTGGGAATTGGTTAATTGACTTGTTATTTTTTCCCTTTTCTGTATCGGGGTTATCTTGTCATTGATTAGCACATTTATCAAGGGATTTTTACGAAGTGCTTGGCGTGAGTAAGGGTGCAACTGCATCAGATATCAAGAAAGCTTACTATGGGGTAGGTCTTGATCTCTCTTGTCTATATCTGCCACAGCTTGCAAACATATGTAGCTGAGTGGTACTTCCATGAAATTTTTTCATTACCAAGTCTAGACTCTTTTCCTGTTGATTTTTCCTTTTTTCTCCTTCTCAATTATTCTTGTATGATTTTATTTGTGCCACAGCTTGCAAAAAAGTTACATCCAGATACAAACAAAGATGACCCAGAAGCTGAAAAAAAATTCCAAGAAGTTCAAAAGGCATATGAGGTACTTGATACTCTGAACTGTTATCCTGTGTATCAAAACTTTCAGATATTATCCACAGTGGAAATTCTTTATTGGCTATTTTCGTTGTAGGTCTTGAAAGATGATGAAAATCGCCAACAGTATGATCAGGTTTAAATATTTTTACATGTATCATATGGGCATTGCTGATTTGATGGTTTTTAATGATCACCATAAATTAGAGAATTATAGCTTACTGGTTAAAATTGGTTTATATATGAATGATATTTATATTTATGTCATAAATTTTGTGAAAACTCTGTTCGCTACCATTTTGTGGAGGGATTTAAGGTATATAAAAAAAAAAAAAAAATGTTCTCTTGATTACATGAATGCCAGTTTCTAATAATACCAAGTTTAAATAATTAACTGATGTTTTGAAATAAAAAGGATAATATAAATAGACTTTACTAGGATGCATTTTGGATGTATAATGAGTTTATCAGGTTCAAGTATTGAAGTACTTCTGCAATTGCAGAATACGCAAACGTGCACTTGCACATTTATGCACGTAGAGCTCTACTTAACTAATCTTTACCTAAAACTTGTCTGGGTCTTGGTTAAATTGATCCTCTTCTACACACCTCTAAAAAAAACTCTCCTGACATTTAAACCACAAGCTCATACCCTTTTTAATTACCTTGATTTTATGTCAACCTAGGCTTCCCTTGACTGTTTATACTTCATTCTATTGATTTTTTGGTATTCTTTTGGTAGAAGCTTCATCCGATTCATGAATATGTTCATTTCATAATCTATTGGTTTGTCTGTCTGCAAATCAATCCTGACATTCGAAATGTACATCAGGTTATTTTTTCATAGCCAAGTCCAGTCCCACTTTACATCGTCGGATATTGTAATGCTTTAGAAATTTCATTTTAATTTTATGGAAAACCTTCAATCACGCAGAACCCCTGGTGTATTGCTCCACACAACCTAGCCAGCGTTGATCCTATGAGCACGCATCATCTCTAGTTAATCTTGTATGTAAAGAACATGTATTTTTAGGATGGAAGAGAAGTTTTGAGATAGAATAGAGAAAGCAAAGTTAATGATGGAGAAAGAAATATCGCTTTGTTTTGTAAATGGGGGTCTTCATTAATGTTTTAGAATATGACTTCATCCTTTTGAATTTAAGCAGCATGCTAACAATTTTCCTTTTTGTCTTCATATGACTTCACATGTAAGCAGGTGGACCCTCAATTTCATTATGAACTTCTTATTTTTGTTTTCCTGCCATCAGAATTGTGTTTTGCCTATATACTTTAAAGTTATCCGTTGTGCAAGTGGATAAGCATATTGTTAGCTGAACTATGAACTCTTTAAAGGGCTAATTCGGCTAATTCACGCTTCTTAAGATAAGCACATAGATTGGTTTTCTACATTATATGAATTTGTTACCTTATAAGTGCAACGGATTATCATACAAATTTCACATGCTCATTTGTTTACCTTAATTACCACTCTTGAGTATTTGCCTCTCTATCATGTCCATTTAATAGCTTGGCCATGAAGCTTTTGAGCGCACCAGTAATGGTGAAGGTCCCGGGTTTGATCTGTTTGGAGATGGTGGCTTTAATCCTTTTCAGGACATGTTTAAAAATGCTGATGTAAGCATTTGACTGGAGTTTATTTCATTTAATCATTTTATGGCCTTCTGCTTTATTAACTAGATTCTTCATTATCCATTGATGGCTAGAGTAGGACAATATTTTCTTTCGAAGGATTTTTATTCAGAGGACTTGATATATGAGCTCTGAGATAAGGGAAACTTCAAATTTTTAACTCTTTAGAAACCCGTAAGTGTTTATTTATGATGCCAAGTGATAAGCTTATAGAAGCCAACTAGAATGGCGGGGATAGTCAAATTGCATGAAGCTTTTGCATTGGAGACACAAAAGAAGGAAAATTTGATTACTTCCATTTAAACTATCGCTTTCTCGATTTGAGAGATTACATTGAAACTCCCCCCCCCCCCAAACCCCCATATGGGGGAGTGCTCTCTCTTAATTTTAATTCCCTATATCTTTAGTTTAGACAGCGGCTGTTCATCGCACCCATCATTATAAGTGCTATATGACTCGGGCCAAAAAAAAAAAAAACACACACACACACACACACACTTAGTGACACTAAATTGTGTATTTGAGGCTTTATGTTTTCATAGTTAGATTTTGAGTAATGCTATCTATGACAACTACTAATGATCAGCCATCTCTGTGCCAATTAACTGGCATTAATTGATATACCATTTCAAATGGGACCCATATCCGTAAATTTAAGATAGCATATAACTAGTGCCACCGAAACTGCCGATGTTAAACAATTGTGATAGATAGCATTATTCGTAAATTATACATTATACCATAGATACCTTGGTAGAATGATGAAATAAAAAGACATAGACATTGAGATATGAGCATGCATTGATCTGGGTCAAATGGTAACTAGCAGATATACAAGGTGAATGATTTGAAGCATCTCAGTTATTAATGTCTGGATGCGTTACATTGCATTACTCTCATATTTTTCGTCACTGTTATTTAATTAATTTACTTAATCTTGAACAATCTAACATGTTTTCTCTTGCATGTTTTGATCCATTCCACTTTGGAGATCAGATATTCAATATATTCAATCGGGACATGGGTGGTGAAGATGTCAAGGTTTTTATTCTTCATCTAATTAACAGTTATTGAACTTGATTTTTCTGTAATGTGTCTCACTAACATTATTAACTGAGTGCAGGTCTCAGTCGAGCTATCCTTGATGGAAGCTATTCAGGGATGCACTAGAACGCTGACAATCCAAACTGATTTGGCTTGTGATACTTGTGGTATATATCTCTTTTGTTATGACTCCAAATAATTTGTAGAATGTTCTTTATAAAAGCAGTGCTTATGTTACATTCCCTTTTCGATTCTTAGTTTATTAAGTTTGAAGTGAACTTAGTTTTCTGTGGTATAGAAGGTTTGTGATTGTTTTTGTTTATTCAGTGATGCTTTCCTATAAGTTTTTTCTTATTATTTTGTTGACTTGTTAGGTGGAACTGGCGTTCCTCCTGGGACCAGGCCTGAAACGTGCAAGCGCTGTAGGGGCTCTGGCATGGTAGGTCATGATCTATTGGCATTCCATTGCTATTGGTGCATTTAGCATTCATAATAATTTTCTTTTTCTCCCCCAGATTATATCACAAAATGGACCACTCACACTTCAGTCAACTTGTCCTAATTGTGGAGGAGCTGGAAAAATTGTATCGGTAGGACATTCCACTTTTTCTATGCAATGTCTTTATTATTGCTCTTTCATTCAAAATTTTCGTCAACGGATAAATTCCTAGAATAATAAGCTTACTTTGAGCTGGCCAACTCCTTTGCTTGATACCAGACAAAGTTACTTGTGTGCATTACTTCTTTGACATGTCAAGCGCTGGAAGATGTTTTCTATCTTATGTTATTTTTGTTTAACAACAGAATGTTAACATTTTCACATAGGAGTTGACCTCTGGGTGAAACAATTTGTTGTATTCTTGACATTTGGGGAGGTTAGTTATCTTATAGATTCGGGCCATAAACCTTTTGTCCATCATGGATTTTTTTTCTTCTAACCTTTTTGTTGCGGTGTATGCCTTGCCCTCTTGACGGATGTGATTGTTTATTTTATAATTTTTTCTGATATACAAGATGACAGGTATATGAGAGATATTTTTTTTTATGTTCATAATATTTTCTGTACACAAGTACACCCCTTGTATAATTTGTGATTCTAAGAACATCAAGTAAATTTTCTTGGGAGCATCAAGTGTTCTTTGCCATGTCAGTTGGTAGAAGATGTGTTCCTTTGTTAAATGCTCAAATTTGACTAGATACAATTAACTTTCTTATAAAATAGACTGATATCAGAAGATGTTTTATTTTTTCTGTAGACAAACTTCTGAATGCTTTTGTATCTAGATAACTGACAAATATGATTGCCTTTAAGTTTTGTATTGGAGTGATTATGATATAAATTATGATTGTTCTATTTCCCATATTTGTATTTCAAAAGAAAAGGTATCCAGTATATTGGAAATTTATTACAACCTAATTCTTTTAAAATTTTCTACGTTTAGTTAGTTACAGAAATATAGTTGTGGTTCTACCTGCTTTAGTTTAAACATTTCAGAGAATTTCTCAAAGCCTACTGATAATGATACATAGTGGTTAGTGGCGAAAAAATTGATGATTTTTTGTTTATTTATTATCTACAGAGTTTTTGCAAGTCATGCAGGGGTAAACGGGTAATAAGGGGACCAAAAACAGTGAAGTTAAATATTATGGCAGGTAAGTTGTGAATTCATAGAAACAAGTGTTGCCATTTTGTGAACTGTTTGATTTTGTTTAATGAATTTTGCTTAGAATCTCGAACTACTGCTTCCTCTTGAGTGTATGGAGATTGTCATATGCATCTTTTGCCTATTTTGACAAGGTGTTGAAATCACATTTTTTTATATCTCTATTTTTTCCCTGGAACCAATTTAATACAATTCATTAACTGATTCAATCTTCTCCCAACATTCAGTATTTCACTTAGGAGAAATGCATAATTTTGATGATCTGTCTAGTAGTTTCCATTATTAAAATAACCCTTTTTAAAAACCTTTCTCTGTGCTGGAAAATAATATGCAGTAGTTTCTAGAAATTCTTTGATTCTATTTAAACTTGCCCGCTGTATCCGGCTGCTTTGATTATCTGTCTACAGTATTTTGTGAAAATTGCATGGTCCTTGATCATCCTTTTTTTTTTTTGGTGAAAATTTTGTCAACAAAGGTTTTTTCCCTCACGATTGGATTCTGGTGATCTTATCCAGGGGTGGACAATGATGATACAATTAAGGTGCCCAGAAGTGGTGGAGCAGATCCCGAGGGCAATCAACCTGGTGATCTTTATGTCATCGTCAAGGTTACTTGATTAGCTCCTCCATGTCCAATGTCATTTTTCCTGGGCAATTTGTATTTTGTATAATCTATTGTTGTCTGCCCAAATTTATGCTTCATGCATTTTCCAGGTCAAGGAAGACCCAGTGTTCCGGAGAGAAGGGCCTGACATTCATGTCGATGCAGTTTTGAGCATTACTCAGGTAATTTTTGGGAGGTTTCACATATGGAACACTTCATGCCTTGGTATCTGCAGGAACAATTGGTCCTTTTTGGACAGGAAGATTTAATTGTTACAAATATGTGGATTAGACTTTATTTAGTTAAATTACAACTGCAAATATACTCATTTCAGGCAATTTTGGGGGGAACAATCCAGGTGCCAACTCTGTCTGGGGATGTTGTTGTTAAGGTTTGTTTGAAACTGCATATTGCTTTCTTTCTTGTTTAACTACTTGACTACTGGGACTCCTTTAAATTTTTTCATTTTTAACATTTTTCTTTCTGCATCGACATTAGCATTACTCAGTGGCGTTTTAAGGTTTAGGGTTGGGGTTGTGTGTGTGGGTGGGGATGATTTAAGATTTCTGATATGTCATGACCCTGGGAAGCACCAAAACTGTCGGCGGCGACGTATCATACGGTACGTCTCTGACACGTCGCCGTGTCGGAGCCCTTGCCGCGTGTTGGAGACAATTAAAACAGACGGATGGAATGGCTGGAAGAAAACAGAAAGATGGCTTGAAGAAAACAGAAACATGGCCTGAAGAAGAGAAGGCTAATTTTGAGAAGAAAAGAAGAAAATGATGGCTCACCTAAACCTAATTTTTAATTCAAGTTGTCGGTCGAATTGCCAAAACATTAAATGCTATGTAAAATATCTTTTATTAGTGTGTAGTCAACTTTTTTCACAACTTTACCCTTCAACAAAGCAATCAATTTTTTATCATTTAATTTACCATTTTATCCTTAATAAAAAAAAACTTACAAAGGAAGTTGAAAATATGATGCAATAAGTATAAAAAAATATTACTTCGGACTATTAAATCAAAAAAATAAAAAATAAAAATATTTTAATCAACATATCGATGACGTATCATATTGAAACTTTTTAAAAAAATCACGTATCGTATCAGACACTCGTGTCCGTGTCGGTGATTCTTAGTCCTGACCACTTGAGAGTATCCAGTTGTTTCTCTGGTCATGAGAAATGAAGTTTCTTTGAATTGTCCCAAAAAATAACTATATTTTATTCGTGTTGTGACATCTGAATGCTTGTTGGTAACTGCAATTTGTGTTTTGTTTCTGTCCTAGTCATTTGTGTACATTTTTCCTTTTGATTTGGTTTACAGGTCCGCCCTGGAACTCAACCTGGTCAAAAGGTTGTTCTGAAGAAAAAAGGTTCGTGAGTTCATAATTACCTGTTCATATCTCTGATTTTCTTCTCAAAATCTTTTGCTTTAAAGGCAGTTTCTAGACCCTATAATGATACATTCACATTACTGCTGATATATGTATATCTTGTGTTCAAAATTATAATAGACTATCCTGCCAACAGTTTCGGTTACACAATGCAATTGATGATAGTTTCATGAGTTTATAATACAGTTTGTTGTTTGTCAGCTGTATTTTCTTTCTGCTGTTGTAAATTTATATTTGAAGTACCCGACATTCTGAGGAAGAATATATGCGGTAGTCCAAGCCAATTGTATACCATACCATAGAAAACATTTTTTTTCTTGATAGATTTAAATATGAATGCTGTGCACACAGTATGGCTTGACAAACTCTGAATTAGGGAAACTATAGTCAGTACCATTAAACTTCCCCGTATCAAAACGGAGACTAGCATCATACCGTATTTGTTCTGTCTTTTGCTTTCTGACATCTTTCTATAATCACTGACACTAACAAGAGACTCTCTCTCTCTCATCACGATCCCTAGTGGGGGGAAAAAAAGTGATTTGCTGAGACCCAAAAAAAGATCAAATTTCTACCAAGATAACCGAAAGTTCCAACCAATATGAATCCAAATGAACCAAAAAAAGGATATGGGCCCAATAGAAGTTACTTAATTTTTGAGACCTGTTATATGTTCTATCCATATATCTTATGATCGCCAACTCGCAGAACAAGTTGACCATTTCAGTTGGGTTCTAGCTAGCACAAAAGATGGCATTGTTGATGAATCTGACACTTGGATATGTAGTCATGTCTGATATGTTTCTGAAGTCGTCAGTAGTTTTTACTGTGGTTAAATTATTTGTGGTTTTCATTTGTTTGCTTGGGTTGATTGTTTTTTCTTCTTTAAAACTGATTTATTTTGATCAGTGCAATACTGTTAATGCATCCCCCCGCCCTTCTTAATGTTGCTTATGCAGGGATCAATGTCAGACACTCTTATTCATTTGGGGATCAATATGTTCACTTCAATGTCAGCATTCCAACGTGAGTATCTCCATTGGAGTAATGTAGGAAATTGTCTCGACTTTTTACTAATCCATTCCTTCTCATTCTCTGGTTACATACTACTACTTAGAACTGAAGAGGAGGAAATCGATATCAGTGGAGAAATTGAAAAATTATTCACTTACTCTCTCGTTTTCTTATAGAAACTTGACCCAAAGACAGCGGCAATTGCTCGAGGAGTTTGCTAAAGAAGAGCAAGGGGATTATGATAAGGATGCTGCTGCAGGTGCATTGGGTTGAGCAATCAGTGTGATAATCGCCCATTGTCACGAAGGCTATAAACAAAGAGAGAAACTTGCATCAGTTCTGGCTGAACGATTTTGCATTGCGGGTTGACAATTTAATTTTTTTAATCCCTTCAACAAGTTGGGGAAAATTATGTAATATTTTTGACAGAACACAACTCATTATGGTTAGCATTAAGTTAAGCCAATTTTGATCTCTTAGCTGTTTGTACATAAAAATTGATCTTACTACAATTGAGCACATTAGATGCTTTCGTGTAAGTTACTGTCCTATGTTTTCCATTGCTCTCAGCTCCTGCAGAAGCTGGAAGCGGTAGTTTGAATGTAGAATTCTCTGCTCGTTTGCAATAATGTAGGATTTCTTTTCTATTAGCCCATGACTGGTAACCATTTTTTAAATTTCATTTTTTTTTCTTAAACTCATTTTCAACAATATATTTTTAAAATAAATTACATTTTTACATGGAATTTAACTTTTTCCTACATGTTTACTATACACTCTTAAAAAAATTTCACAAACTTTATCTAAAAAATCGATCAAACGAGCCTTATTTTAGAACTCTTATATATTTTCTTGTTCCTATTACATGATTTTTTTCCTGGGTAGAACTTCAAATTTGTGCTTTCTTTCTCTTACCAGTCACACCTTTAAAATATTTCTCTTTTCCGAATACGACTAATTGAGTATTTGTATCAACATTAGTGACTTGTAATTTCGTCTTAAAGGCGATGTGGCATCACTAGTGTTTGTTACTTTACAAAACTACGTATTGTCATTATATGTCCAATTTAGGCTCTGTTTGTGCCCCATTAATTTGAAAAAAATTATTATGGAATCGTGATTGATGGAAAATGTGTGGTTAAAAAAGAAAAAAAAAATTTTGATTTACATGTAACATTATTTTAATGAAGAATGTGATTAAAAATAAGTACTGTAGAAAAAGAATGGAAAAAAAAATGGAAGACAAACAAGGACTATAATATCCCTTCTTTTAACTTGACCAATAATGTAATGTCACATTGATATATGCTAAATAATAGTGGTGCTATCATGTGATAGATTTTTTTTTCTCTAATAGTCATGCCTAGTTAAATATTAAAAATGATGATCTCAATAAAATGAATTTAGGTCAAATTATTTAGTCATTATAGTAGATTTGATGAATAACATTGACCAAAGTCGAAAATGAATAAGTTAACATATGAGTATTTTTAAAAACAATAGCTTCTTTATTTAAAATTAAAGAGCTAATATTTTATTTAAACATGTAGGCAAAAGGTTAATAATTTATTTGAGTAAAAATTTACTAGAAAGTAAGGTCGTGGTTGGTTTGCCCTTTTTGGCCCATTTTTTGTTTTTCGTTTTCGAAAATGCGAAAAATGCGTTTGGTCTGTCGTTTTCGAAAACGTATTTTTTGAAAACAATTTAAAATTTATAATTGAAAACGCAAAACGACTTTTTATCGTTTTCAGCGTTTTCAGTTATAAATGTCGAAAACATTCAAACGCGGAAACGGGCCATTTTTGGGGAAAACTAAAAATCGTTTTGAAAATTAAAATGGAAAATGAAAACGCAAACCAACCACTACCTAAATTATTTAAACATTTATGTAGATAGAAGGCAAATTTACTTAAAGTAAGAAGTAAGTTTAAAATTAATTTTTTTGATTTATATAAGTGAAAACGATGAACTTATGGTATAAGAGTTACCAGTAAAAGAGGATTTAAAATTTAAAAAAAAAAAAAAAACACTTAAATGTCATAAAAAAAAATGAAAAAAAAAATTTGTTAGCCGAATTGACAGAAGCTATTTGATAGTAGTTTACTTTTTGAAGCGAAGAAGACAAATTCTTACTGCAAGGAAATCATTTTTTTTCTCATTTTTCCTTTAAATACGCTGATGTGCTTCATTTTTTATTTTTTTTAAAATGTTTTTCTTCCATTATGATGCGTAATTAAACCAATAATTGGGACGGCGAAGTAACCTAAATTTGAACCTTTAAATGTCAATTCTAAAGATTCTTGTAGTTAATTATTTCATGTAATGATTTTACTTCCATTTTACATATTTTGAAATAATTGGCCATTGTTTCATTGATTTGTGAATTATTAACAAATCGATAAGTGACTTAAACTTTTGATTGTGTAGTAAAATTCGGCAATCAAAAAAAAAGTAGATATATACTTTTGTTATTATAGTGATCTTTAATTGAATTTTTAGGTGAATTAATGCATTTAGTTGGGGCTTATTCAGATTCACATAGAGATATAGAGAGTTAACTCATCTAGATAAGATTGATTTTATTTATTTAGTAAATTCAATCGAAAACAACTTTAGGAATTGAACTTGAGAGACGATATTCAAAGGGATAACTGAAGCTTTAACTACTATATTAAATAATTTATCCTCGTTTCAATGAAAAAGCATTCGTATAATTATTTTTACTTTCTTAGTTAATATTAATTTTGATCAAAATCTTGCCCTCATCGTTTCCTTTCAAATAGGAGTTAGAAATATTTAAATTAATCATTATAAATAGTACTCGTGAAAGTGATGGTCGAAATTCTGAGGTCCATTGTAATTCTTATTTAATTGACATTGTACGCTTGTGATTATCATAACAATACTAATAGATTTATCACGGGCTTAAACATTGAAAGTTATGTCCTCATAATCAAATGAAAATCCCTTAAGAATTTTGATGGCAAGATCCTCCATGAACGGAAGCACCCATGAAAGCAAGCTCCTAATTGTTGACTTTAATTTAAATTAAAATCTAGATTTTAATTCTTATCAAACATGGACTAAATGACTACAAAACATAGGTACTAGGTTACGACATGAAATGCGTGAAGTTTTGAGAAATCACTGACTGCGCTATTTCCGACATAATCGTGTAGTTGATATGAACATGCCCCAAGGTTTTTAATGAACATCAACTTTTCATTGAATGTATTTTATAAGAATAATTAGCAAAATCATTATATTCATGAAAATATAAAAATGATTGCTTCAAAGAGGACCGACTTTGATGGTCGATTAGACCTTGCTCTCGTACAGTGATGTGATAGAGTAAAGAATTTGTTGACCATCGTTGCACAATGCTTTTTCACTATCTAATTATAGCTTTCCAGTGCCCTTTAAGAATAAAGTCATTTGTCCAAAGTTAAAAACACGGGAATAAAGAAACGGATTGATGTGTAAGACAATGATTGTATATTTTTGTTTTAATTTTTCAAATTGTTTAATCATGCGTCGACACGTGTTCTATTTGAATATAAGTTTAGATTTAAACTTGGATATGTAGCATGATTGTTCGTTTAATTATATGCTTAACTGAAAAGGTTGTCCTTACAACTATAACATCTCAATAATGGTTTTGCGTTTGAAAGGGATTCTAGGTGCCAAAACTATGATGAGACCCATTTGCATTTTTTGCAAAGGTTTGGAGCTCCGGCTATAATTTTTCCTTAAAAATCGTAAAAGTGTACAAGGACAAAGATTTATAACCCCTGTTTGGCCGGAATTAAGTTTAAGTCAAAGTTAATAATTAATTTTAACCATATATTTCATCGGACTCATAACTTATTAACCACATATTTCATAATTTTTTTAATCAAATTTTGCTAAAAAACTATTTTTAACATCTACCAAACAGGGCATAATTTATTTATTTATTTTCCTATGCCGGCTATAATTTTTCCTTAAAAAATTGTAAAAGTGTACCAGGACAAATATTTATAATGTTATTTTGTCCTAAGCTTAAAAAAGTAAATTACTGTTAAATAACTTTTGTCAATGGAATAACTAATTTTTTCTTACTTATGCGTAAAAATTCCTCTTTAATGGTCACTCTTATATTATTCTTAGTAACTTCCTTATTGATTGATAAAAAAATAATTTTAAACTTGCTTCTCACTTATAAGAATTACTTTTTTCTTAATAATAAGCTAAAACTTTAACTCTGATTAATAAAAAATAATTATTCTAAAACTTACTTATTTTAACAGAAATAAATTTACCTTTTTCTACATGTTTAAATAACTTATTTGCTATTTAATTTTCAATAAAGAATTTGTTTTTAAAGTTACTCGTATGTTAGCTTATTCATTTTCAGCTTCCACCAATGATATTCATCACATCTACCATGATGAATGAATAATTCGGTCTAAATCTATTTTACTGAACGCATTTCAAATTTTTAATCAGGCACGACAAATAGGGAAAAATCTGTTCTGATTAATTTAATTTGTAATAAGAAAACTTTTCAGTTTCCAGTAGCTCTTAGCAGATAATCTTCCAACTTAACTAAGTTAAAAGCCTATACTTTCCTACACAAACGATCTGTTTCACGTTCACCCACAGTATAGAATTCAAGGTAGTTTGACTGAGCAAGAAAAAGAAGATAGATAAAAAACATGATTTGGAATAGATGAGAAATCATCGAGAGAGAAGGGTTTGGCCTAGTGTCGAAAGCTAATGTACACCAATAGAATGGCGATCAAATTCCACACGTTATTGCTGTCAAAACTGCAAAACTTATCACGTTGGAGTCGCTTGTTAAAGACAAGAAGTTGCTAAAATTTATTCAATGGCTGTCCGTCCATACTTTCATCGTTTTTGGGATGACGTTACCATGGAGGAAGGCGAGGAACCACTGGCGGACGGGGGGCGGGGGGGCATGTAGGGTCAATTGACCCCCTAGTCTTAAGGTTTTTTTTTTTATTCAATAAATTAGTAGGTCAAAATTCAAAATAGTCAGAACTCAAACAAATCCTTCCCTGCTTCAACCGTATCTCTCTCTCTCAACTCTTGTCTCTCGCTGCCTCGCACAAATGGCACTGACGGCTGACTCCCACCGTTGAAGCACATTAGCACAGCACAGAGCAGTGAGAGCTCACCCACAGCCACCGGCCACCGCTCCATCCCCGCCTCTGTTTCTGCCTGACCTGACTGCCTCCACCTGGAACGCTGCCGGCCTCCATGCGACTGCGGCAACAGCAACAGCCAACCCCAGTCACGCCAGTGCCGGCGACCCATCACTACTGACTTGAAGGTTAGAAGCTTTACACTTACAAACTTATCACTTACTCAAATTTTTTCTTTGAATTCTTCTCCATAAGTGACAATAATCGTAACTGCTGCCTGCCTGCCTCTATGTGTCATGTGTGGTTAGTTCCTATTTCTAAATTTGGATTTATTTACAGTTCAATTAATCAATTATGATTCATGTTCCTGCCCAATAAATGTAATTTAGGGATTTCTGATTTAGGGCTTTGATTTAGGAAATTGACCCTTTTCCAGTTTTCTGATTTAGGGCTTTGATTTAGGAAATTGACCCTTTTCCAGTTTTCTGATTTAGGGCTTTGTTACTTATTTATATGTAAATTGATTATTGATAATATTGATTTGGGAAGATTGAAATTTTGTCTGACTTTTGGTAGGTCGGAAATAGTATAAACTGATTTAAGCATTTCTAATCTTGTTGATTTTTCATTTTTGGTTGGTTTGTTTCAGTTATGGAAAAATACTTTAAACGTACATCTACGATTTCCTGTGATGAACAAAATATTGGTGAAAGGAATGTTCGAAAGAAAAGGGATGAAAACGATGTTGGGGATGTTGATGTTGGAGATGTTGGGGGTATTGGAGACGTTGGAAATGTTGAGGATATTGGAGATATTGGGGATAGTAGAGGAAATGTTGAGGATATTGGAGATGTTGGACATGTTGGGGATGTTGATGTTGCACAGCTTCCCTCTAATCCTGGATTGAGAGTTCCAATATAGAATTATGATGTTAATATTCGAGATGTGATTCGAAGAGCATATATGCAAAGAGGTCCTTATCAGCCTCGCAATCATATATTTCCACCCACAAGAATAGGTAAAATAGACCGACGATTTTGTGTTTCGTGATATAATGAGCATCCCACTTGGTTGGAATACAGTATAGCAAAAGATGCAGTTTTTTACTTTTATTGTTATCTTTTCGGTTTGAATGATGGTTCATTTGTTAAAGGCGGATTTTCAAATTGGAAAAAGAAAGAATATATAAGAAAACATGTTGGGGCTTCAAGTAGTGCACACAATCAAGCTCGGGTCAAATATGAATTGTTCAACAATCAAGAACAAAGTATCGATCTTGTCTCGTTAAACAATCGCATCAAGCTCGAACAAATTATCGAATCCGATTAAATGCTTCAATTGATTGTGTTCGATTTCTTCTACGACAAGGGATGGCATTTCGTGGACATGATGAATCTGAAGATTCAAACAATCAAGGAAACTTTCTTGAACTGTTGCATTGGTTGTGTGATCATAATCCTGAGATTAAGGCCGTTGCTTTGACAAATGCACCTTAAAATTTGAAATTAACATCACCAAGAGTGCAAAAAGATATTGTAAGTGCTATTGCTTCTGAATGTCTACATGTCATTATTGAAAATATTCGTGATAGTTTCTTCTCAATTTTAGTTGATGAATCTCGAGATACTTCTATGAAAGAGCAAATGTCAGTTGTCATTCGTTATGTGAAGAATGCGTGTATATTGGAACATTTTATTGGTGTCATTCATGTTTTGAATACCACAGCTGCCTCACTTAAGGCTGCAATTGATCAGTTATTCTCAACGTATAGTTTAATCATATCTAATTTAAGAGGCCAGGGATATGATGGAACTAGTAACATGCGAGGTGAGTATAATGGCCTCAAAGCACTTATTTTGAAAGAAAATCCAAGTGCTTACTATATTCATTGCTTTGCTCATCAACTTCAATTAGCTCTTGTAGCCGTGGCACAGAAACATCCGAAGATTGAAACTTTCTTAACTAGAGTACATAGATTGGTGAATATTGTTGGAGGATCAGCTAAACGGAGTGATCTTATTCGAGAGAATCAAAGATTGAAAATTCTTGAATCACACTCAGTATTGGTGAAATATCAAGCGGACGAGGTTTCAATCAAGAAATTACTCTTCAGCGTCCTGGGGATACACGTTGGGACTCTCACTATAGTTGTTTAATTAACTTGATTGCCATGTTTTCAACTATAGTCGAAGTCATTGAGATGATTGCTACTGATTCTACAAGTACCGGAACAAGAGGTGATGTATGCATTTCATTGGAGTTGATGTTAAGATTTGAATTTGCATTTAATCTATATCTCATGAAAAAGATTTTAGGGATTTTAAACGAATTGTCAAAAGCATTACAAAGAAAAGATCAAGATATTGTCAATGCTATGAAATTGGTGCAAATATGTAAAACACAACTCCAAACCATGAGAGATGATGGATGGGATTCTTTTTTGGGAGTGATTTGTTCGTTTTGTGAAACTCACAAGATCAATGTTCCCGATATGGATGATATGTTCATAACTGTAGGTCGTTCACGGCGTGAGACAGTGACAAATTTGCATCATTTTCGTGTGGAAATGTTTTATGCCGTCATTGATATGCAACTTCAAGAGTTGAATGATCGTTTTTCTGAAGCAAATAGTGACTTGCTTATTTGTGTTGCATGTTTATCTCCAAATAATTCATTTGCTGCTTTTGACAAGATCAAATTGATTCGACTATGTCAGTATTATCCGGTAGATTTTGACGCAGCAAATATCCTAGAACTTGATGATCAACTAGATACGTATATTATTGATATGCGCACTTCTGAAGACTTTGAAGAATTACAAGGCATTAGCGATCTTGCACAGAAGTTGGTTGTGAAGAATAAACATGAAGTGTATCCATTAGTCTACAAACTTGTGACACTAACCTTAGTTCTTCCCGTGGCTACTGCTACAGTCGAGAGAGCATTTTCTGCGATGACTTACGTCAAAAATCGTCTGCGCAATCGAATTGGAAATCAATGGTTGAATGATAGTTTGATTGCATATATTGAGAAAGATGTTTTTGATAATATTGAAAATGATGTAATTATTGAACGTTATCAAAGTATGAGAACACGTAGAGAGCAATTGTAATAAGATATATCTTATTTTAATTTTTTTTATCACTTTTTTAAATGTTCGTTACTGACCCCCTAGTCTAAAATGTCTGCGTCCGCCCTACGAGGAACTATACAACATACTGCTCAAATATGCTGCCGGAGGATGTCTAGCAAATCGGACTATGGACAAAGGCTTGTCGGAGAACGTTGTGATCAGACAGCTCACAAAATCTATGAGAGTAATAAAAATTAGAAAGATTGCCACTCGAATTAATCTATTTGATATGGAAACTAAAGTGATTCATTTAAACAAAATTTCTGGATTGCCTTAAATTTCTTTCTATTGGTTCTTTGTTATTCTTATACAGGTACTTACAACAAGTGAAAATGCTCTTGGATGCACTAACAGTCCAAATTTTGGTAGCTAGGTGTAGAAAGTTGGAGCCAAACCCTGCTTCTCTCGATTTTTATGCTCTCATAATTGTTATTGTTGAAATTGTGTTTTCGAGAAACGCGCTTTTATTTGTGTAAAACGTTTTCTTCTGAATGGATGACATGTGTGATTATGTTGGCAGTTGGATGGTGTGGATCTAGAATGATCCTCTGGCTTCTCTGTAACAATTCATTTTAGGATGGCTGATCCTTTGGTTTTCTCATTCAGTTCATTCGTCTGGCTCTTTGTGTTCTTGAGGGAAAAAGAGAGAAAAAGGGGGAGGGGCTAGTGTTTGCATCGTTCATCTAGTTTCTACTTAGAACCCCTGATTCTAAGTGTGGTGTGATAGTGTAGATCCTTCAATTGAGTAATATTCCGAGGGAATATTGTGCGAATTTGTGTGATTTCTCTGTTATTGGTTTTGTTCGAAGGGCCTTTGTGAAGATTTGTTGGTGAATTTTTGTAGTACTATCACTGTATTCGAGAGATAAGTCTCTTGTTTCGTCTCTCTGAACATTTGTAACTTTTGTTGTCATTTTGGGTTGTTTTAGTGCAACCGAGCATATTTCTTTTATTGGATGCTCGACGGGGGATATAGGTGTTAGCTGATCACTGAACCTTCGGAGCTTAAGCCGAAATAATTCTTTAGCGTTCAACTTTAATTTTCTGTTTGATTGAATTATTCTTGTTTTTCGACACTTATATAGTGTGATCTTGGTCTAATATGAACCAAATACATGTTTTTTTAGTTATTTTATATATTTTAAATTTTCGATATGTATTGAATATATATTCTTTTTAATTATTTTTGATAGGTATTGAATATATTAGGACATGTGAAGAGGATTTTGTTTGATTTTAAATTCTTTTAAAACTCATTATTATTAATTATAGATTGTCAAAAAATATTTACTTAATATATAACTATTGTTAGTATCACTAACTGATTGAAAGTATATAATCCTTATTGGAAATACACAACTAGAGTTTTAATTTAATTAAAAATAAGATTTTTTTTAATTGAAAAAACACAATAGTATTAAATCTTGTAATACATGTATAATCATTTTAATATTTGAAAATATATTTTATTATTGAAAATAGATAATAGTATTAAATCTCTATTCAAATGGATCATTCAAATTGTGGGATATTAACGGAGATTCATTTGATATTTTGAAGGCATTGGGTTGTTTGAGATTGCTAAAATTTATCATTAGACGAGTCATAGTTGGAGATTTTATATTTAATGATGAAGAAGAAGCTGATATTGATAAAATGAAGTTGGGACAATTAGTATTTTAATTTTATTTATCATGCTCATGTCTTATTTTTTTTTTAAATATTAATGAAGTTATGCTTAATTTTATATATTATATATATTTATCTGCGTATCCTAATTTTTTTAAAAAAGTTATATCGACGTGCCCATATGGTATAGTATACTAATAATCTATTCGAATCTCTGCTTCTCAAATTGAGACAGGCCTCATAATCCTTTTGTATCGGGAAGATTATTAAGAACATTACCTTGTACGAGTGTAAGATTTGGATCCCGTTCCATGGAAAAAATCCCGATAGTTGCTTTTTAAGCAAGCCCATACCACCAATGATGTTAGAAGTGTGTTTCAAGTTAATCTATGGTAGACTGATTATCGCCAATTATTTCCATATCATCAATATTCAATATGAATTAGAATATGATATCATCAACATAAATTAGAACAATGATAAAAAAATTTTCTTATACTACGTGAATAAATAGAAGTCAGCCTTAGATTACTGAAAACCGAACTTCTAAGAAGCTATAGAGAACCATTTTGTGAGAGCCGTGTTTTAGTCCTACATTAATTTCTCCCTCTCTTCTCTATCTTCCTTCAAGATGGAGTCATGTGGGCTTCTTCGTCACGATCACATCAAGATATGCATCATGACATCTAATTAGTGAGCAGTGTAAAAGCAAGGAGAAATTTGGATGAGTAGTTGGTGATGAGGTGATTAGTAAATTGAGTTTTGTCTACTGAAGGTGTGTTTAGAGTGCACTTAGAACCCCTTGAAACTACCTCCTACAAATAGACATAAGATATAGAAATTGTAGATTCTTTCATACTTTATTGAAAAATTGGTCTCATCGAAATAAAGTGTAATGTTATCTATAATGTTGAGGTGCAATATTCTCTACTATTACTTGGTTAAATAAAGGGATATTGGTTGGCCAAACAAGAAATTAATCTCTTGTCGCACAGAATTTTGTAGTCATTGACTATGAATAACATTAATCTTTTACATTTTCTAGATTGGTATATACCTGTATTTATCTTTCTATAATGGAAAATTAAGTGAATTAGAATTATATTGAAATAACTGATATTATAAAAATAAGTTAATTCAAAATTTTTAATTGTTACCCTAAAGATTCGTTTATTTTGAGAGATTAGGTGTTCGATTTTTAATTGTTATCACATATTATCATAATCTGTCACAACTTTATTCATTTATACCCACTCGAGTACACTATATTTTCCTTCAAACGTTTAGTTAAGTCTTTGTTTGTCAATCATTCTATCACATTCTACTATATTACTTTTTTTACAGTACTCATTTTTAATCATTCTTCATTAAAATAATGTTACACATAAATTAAAAACTTTTACTTCTTTTTTAACTATACATTTCAGCGTCAATTACTATTCCACAATACACTTTTGAAATTAAAGGTGTGTTTGTCACCTATTATTTGGGAAGAATGTATTATGGAACAGTGATTGATATTGAAATATGTGGTTAAAAAAAGAAATTTTTTTGATTTACGTGTAATATTATTTTAATAAAGAATATATGATTGAAAATGAGTAATGTAGAAAAAATAATGAAAAAGAATGAAAAAAAAATGGATGATAAGCAAGGCCTAAAGGGACACAAACAAGCCCTAAATATAAAAAGTAACGGGTAAAATTGTGAACCCCCGCGAGCACCAGTAAACCACGACCCACGATGATTAGGTGGCACTATCGCAATTTTTTCGAAATGCAGGCCCATAAACAAACACCAAATGTATCGATTTTTCCCAATTCGCGCCTCTCACTTTCCCGCCCCTTTCTTACGCACTTCTCCCAAATATGCTACAACAGATATACGCATACACCTATAGATACGCTATAATTTATATGTATACTATGAATCCAGTAGTGTAGAAGAAGAAGAAGAAGAAGAAGAAGAAGATGTTTTACTCTCACACATTTTTGGCGAGGAAGGGCCCGCTGGGAACAGTCTGGTGTGCTGCTCATTTGCAGCACAAACTCAAGAAGTCCCATTACATCTCCACCAATATCCTCTCCAGAGTCGGTCAGTATTTCCACATTTTTCATTGAAAAATACGTTTTTCTTTGTGAGTTTTAATTGGAATTCTTAAAAAGAATTTGTTCTTGATCTATCGATCTGTATGGAATGTGGCGGCGGGTTTATTGTTTAATTAGTTTCTTTTTATCTATATATATCGCGATTCTGAACTTAAAGGTCTGTTATCGATTTCGCGTTGTTTATGTTATAAATTTTTTATTGATGATTTTTTCAATTTTATTAATTCTACAATCCAGCGGTTTTTACAGTGTTTGGAGTGACAAGGTAAGGTCTATATCTATCGAT